TAGTCTTTAAGTGGTTTCCAGTCTGTTATTTTCTTAGGTTTCCCTTGATTCTTTGTCAGCAGTTGTGATCATTTATCCATATCCATAATTTCCAAGTTTTTTGTTAGCCTTTGTTCTTTTGTTGGTATGTCTTCTTTTCTCCAGTTTCTAGCTTAGAAAATTATTGCTGCTGTAGTTAAATAATTAAAGAGGATATTTTTGTGTTTGTATCCATATCTATGTCTGTTGTTCCTAGTAAAAAGTATTCTGGTTTCATTTGAATTTTGATATTAAGTATCTTCTGGGATATTTCCTGTATCTCTTTCCAATATTTCCTTGCTTTCTCACATGTCCACCACATCTAGTAAAACATGCGCTCTTGAGTACCACATTTCCACTATTTGTTCTGTTTTATTGACTATTCCCAGCTTCTGTGGAGTCATATACCATTGGTACCTTATCTTGTACTAATTATCTTTTATATCTGTTGCAATATGTGTTTTTTAGCTTCTTACTCCACATTCTTACTCCCCATTCATCTATTTTTATTGGGCTGGTTAACCATTTTATCATGCTTTCTTTTATTTCTTTTATTTCTTTTATTTGTTCTGTTTCATTGGACCATTCCAAAAGTTTTCTGAAACAGTGGTCTGCCTTTTTGAAAACATTTATGCACAGAATTTGGAAGTCAAAATTCAAAATAATCCCATTCTTTAAACAAAAATAGGATTTCCTTTAATTCACCACTTCTTAATGCAGCTTTTGGGATGAATATTACAAATATTTCTAGCATATTGTATGTAAATAACTGAGCCTGCATCCAACATGTGATTCAAGGTGTGGCTATCAGTCAAAATCAGGAAAAAAGGAAATGAAATGAAACATTTCCCCATCTCCTGCTCTCTCAAAAGTTCCAATTATATGTATACTTCAGTTGGCAAACTGTACGAATTACTTCCTTAAAATATGGTATGGGAGGAAAAATAACATGGGAAAATAATGATAGATTTCTAAAGCACAATAAACAACATGTCAATATACATTTTAGTAAATCTTTGATCCCAAACTAACAATTTGTCTATTCAGTAAAATGAACTGGCCAGCTCAGGTAAGCCTAACATAAGACAACAAACACATTTGATCCTTTAGAGACCACTTGAAAACTTCTTCTGAAATCAATCAAGAGATCACTTTTTCTCCCTCAAGCCTTCAATTCTCTTATGATTTCTATTTAGTTGACCAAACTTATAAGTTTATACTTTCTAAACATGTATAGGGCAGCATGTATTTTTCCCTTTTCTTTCTGCTGTTATGTTCACATAAGGGACACAGAAGGCAGTTAGCATACCTGTAGTAGGAACACACAGTTACAATAGGATGAGCTCAAGAAGAATTCCATTTTGCTAATTGCAGTATGCCTGTAGTCATTTTTAGTAATTTTTTATCTCTCTTATGTTTAAAAAATCATTTTTAACTAGTGGCTTCCCCATTTTTATGAGGTTTCTGCACCCCCAACACTCATGAACATGGAGGGCTTATTGTACTATATAATACGGAGGAGCGGTTGTGAAAATAGACTTGTAATGTGTCCCTTCCATCCCCTTTAGTGCCCCCACCAGTGCTTTGACCCCTCCTATTAGACCCCCCCTCCACCGGTTCCATACCTTCTACCTATATTTTTAAACTGTGATTTCAAACTGTTTTCTAATCTGGGTTGTTGTAGGTTTTTCGGGCTATATGGCCATATTCTAGAGGCATTCTCTCCTGACGTTTCGCCTGCATCTATGACAAGCATCCTCAGAGGTAGTGAGGTCTGTTGGAACTAGGAAAATGGGTTTATATATCTGTGGAATGACCAGGGTGGGACAAAGAACTCTCGTCTATTGGAGCTAGGTGTGAATGTTTCAACTGACCACCTTGATTAGCATTTGATGGCCTGGCAGTGCCTGGGGCAATCTTTTGTTGAGAGGTGATTAGATGTCCTTGATTGTTTCATCTCTGTTGTTTTGCTGTTGTAATTTTAGAGTTTTTTAGTACTGGTAGCCAGATTTTGTTCCTTTTCATGGTTTCCTCCTTTCTGTTGAAATTGTCCACATGCTTGTGGATTTCACTGGCTTCTCTGTGCAGTCTGACATGGTGGTTGTTAGAGTGGTCCAGCATTTCTGTGTTCTCAAATAATATGCTGTGTCCAGGTTGGTTTTCTCATCTTCCCAGGGCACTTGTGTCCCACTTTGTGCTGGTCATAGACCATAATAGAGCTTTGTATTGTAAAATGCTCCCATTTTTGTCTCTTCCATCTCTTTTGTCCTTTGTTCACAACTTATTTCAATTGGTGAGAACTGAGCTCAAAGTGAAAAAATAGCTTGTACTCCGTTAACTCAGCACAGAAGGAGAGGAGGGAGAAGAATCTTGTCTCTCCCACAAGGTTCAAACAAAAGTAATCCGCTACAACCTAGTTTGTGTGTTATCCTTCATTAATAACTTTTGGCATTGTGAAAACATCCTGATGTTGCTTGACCAAATGTGTCCCAGTTTTCTTCTGTGAAATATTGGAAAATAAACAACTGTCCTGTTTCTTCTTCCTCTACAGCTTGCGGCCAACCAGTGATCTCCGGACGGATTGTTGGGGGCCAGGCAGCCCCAAATGGGGCATGGCCTTGGCAAGTCACTGTTTTACGTTCTACCTATTTTATATGTGGAGGCTCTCTCATAGACAAGGAGTGGGTGATGTCAGCAGCTCACTGTTTCTATAAGTAGGTATTTGGGCAATGCTATCATCTATCTCAGAGGTCCACAAACTTTTTAAACAGAGGGCCAGGTCACAGTCCCTCAAACTGTTGGTGGGCTGGATTATAATTAGAAGAAAACATGAATGAATTCCTATGTACACTGCACATATCTTATTTATAGTGCAAAAACATTTAAAAACAATACAAAAATTAAAATTAAGAACAGTTTTAACAAATATAAACTTATTAGCATTTCAATGGAAAGTGTGGGCCTGCTTTTGGCTGATGAGATAGGATTGTTGTTGTTATTCTGTGCTTTCAAGTAGTTTCATACTTAGGTTGACCCTGAGCGAGGGCCGCATCCGGCCCCCGGGTCTTAGTTTGAGGACCCCTGATCTATCTATTTATAAAGATTTGCTCCAGATTCATTTCAGAGATGTAGTTAAAGTTCTGTGTCTACCAGCCAGACTGTGCAATGCAAGAATTTGCAAGAGAGAAGAATCTGATGACAAATGAATGGAGGGAACTTCTGGTTTGAAGACAAGCTAGTCATCAAGCCAAGAACCTGGCTAGCAAATTTGCAGTCAGATTTGGAGACACAAACTAAGGTCCCTTCTACACTGCCATATAGCCTCATATAATTCAATTTAAAGCAAATATTGTGGATTATCTGCTTTGACAGTCTGAATTATATGACACTGTAGGGGGGGGGGGGCTTAATGTGACTTTCCAGGCAATCTGCCCCCCCCCCCCAATGGCAACAAGCTATCCTGTTGCCATCATAGAATCATAGAATCATAGAATCAGATGTCAGTGAAGGTGTTATCCATCAGCAGTTGTTGTTCTTGTGTGCCTCCAAGTCATTTCTGATTTATGGCAAACCTAAAGGGAAATTCTTGGCCAGATTTCTTCAGAAGATGTTTTACTATTACTTCCTCTAAAACTCAGAGAGTGTGATTCACTCAAGAGGGTTTTCACATAGTGGTGAACCCTGCTCTCCAGAGTCATAGTCCAAGTCTCAAGCCACTGCACTGTGTTGAGTTGCCTGATCAGCAATAGAGAAGACAAATTAATCTCCTGATACAATTGACCTGTGTCGGTGTAAAGGTATGGATTTCCATCTTGTTCTCAATCTCAAGCAGCAAAATATGTTGAGCTGATCCTAATAAGCCTGCAACAGAAAACTAAGGACTGTGACAAGTTCTTCAAATTGAATTACTAGGCCCTAGTCAACAACTAGATAGGACAAAGTGGAATGATGATTGGTTTCTCATTGGAGATGATAGCTGATGGACATACTTACTTCATGTGGGGTGGGAGTAGAAAATCCATATTCCAGTTTGGTAAATAAATTAGAAAATTTGAATCTTGATGCAGTTTGCAACCTCATACAAAAGCAACAATAGGTAACTATAACAGGAGGTGTCAAGAGATAGTCTGCTGTTCAAAAAGGAGGAAATTACTAGTTCATCTAGATCACCTGACTGAGTGGAAGAGAGGTAGGAAAGGGAAAAAGTGAAAATCTATCAAAAACATGTTTCCTGGGTGTTGGGAAATTCTGATGAAGAGAATCCTAGAATAATCGGGGTCTTCACAGTTCAGGACTTATTCTGCATATAAGAATAAAACTAACAACGAGTTACATCCCTAACCAGGGGAAGGACTGTGGAGGGTATTCTTAATATCCTTTCTACCACCCACCCCAAAATAGGAGGGAAATAAATCATTTTATGCTATACTATACTTTCTTAATAACAGGATAGCATGGTTTACAGAAGTTTGGGCTAAATCAAGCGTGAACTTCCCCTACAAGCCAAAAAATTGTTAACAGAGACGATTGTATTTAGATATACCATATAACATAAAACAACATTACTCACCACAAAAGATGAAAAGCAGTAGGAGAGGGGAGAGCGGGGCTCCAAGTTGATGGACTCCATCAAGGCAGCCAAGAGCTGAAATAGGCTGTTATTAGCAACATGTCTTGAATGCCTTTCATTCGTATTGTTTTGTGTGTTTTCCAATCATTTCCCATTAATGACAACAATTTATGTAAAAAGCCATCACAGCTAATGGGAGCTACACAGTTCCACATCTCAAAAACCACTTGATTCCCACTCCTAGCCTAGTGTAGTTGAGTGATAAGATTATTTGACTTTATCTGGTCATATTTTTCTGCTATCCCAAGTATTTTGTGCATCAGCAGTACAACAGGTGAAATCATACAAATCTTGAAGAAATTTCAAACTTAGCACTACAACTTCTTGTTGTATATTTCTCTTATATTCATAGTGACACAAACCCTGATGAATATTACCTGTTATTTGGAGCCTATGAACTCTTCAACCTCTCAAACAATGTGGTACTCAGACGTGTGAAAAAGATTATCCTCCATTATAACTACAATGGTGATGTTGGCTCCAGTGGGGACATCGCTTTACTTCAACTCTCATTCCCTGTGGATTTCACCAACAACATCCTCCCTGTTTGTATGCCAGAGTCATTTTCAGAATTCTATGCAAACACCAATTGCTGGATGACAGGATGGGGAGATACACAATACAAAGGTGAGAAATATTCTTTGCCATGCCTACTCAGCCTCTGCTGACTCTCATGACAAATATTTCATTTTATAGGTGAGAGGGACAATTCAGCTCCTTTCCCTTGGAACTTTAAGGAAGTGGAATGTGAATGGGGTTTGCAACTTACTAAGGACCAGTCCAGATAGTACCTTTATTGCGGCATCTACTGCAATAAAGAGGGGCTGTCCAGACAGCCTTCAGGACAGAGTCCTGAATCAATTCGCTACAAGCCAGGAAAACCCTGGTTTGTAGCGAATTAATTAGATAATTGATTTATTCTGTGCCTTCTAGGAAGACATGGGATAAATATACTATTTCTGGACTGTAGTCCAGACACCATTCCCACAGTTTACCGGGCTAAATAAGACTGATAAACTGTGGGAATACCCACCCCCCTCCCCCAAAGCCTCCAGACCCCTTTAAAAAGTAATGAAAACTTACCTGGCCTCCATTACAGGCTTTGAGCAGCTCTCCCAGTGCATAGAAATTACATGCCAGGAGAGTGGGGGGGGGGGGGGGGAGGAAAATTCCTCCCCGCTTCTCCTAGCACATCGTTTCTACATGCTGGGAGAGCTGCTCAAAGCCTGTAATGGAAGCTGGGTAAGTTTTCATTTCTTTTCAAAGAGGTTTGGTGGCTTGGGGGGGGGGGGAGAGCCTCCAGATGTTCCCTCGGAGTAGTCCCAAGATAACGTCTGGACACCCACCCCAGAATGCGTGCGCTTTCTGGTGTGTGTGAACAGGCCCACAGGAAGATCCGCGTTTTTAAAACACAGATTCTCCTGGGATAAAGGCCTATCTGGATCTGCCCTAAGGCTGCCAGACTAGCTTACAACCAATGTCCCAGGAAGCTGCAGAAAGGATGAGGGATTTGTATTAAGCATAAAGATTTTTGCGCACTCAGTATGGCAGCAAGAAGTGATCAAGCAGATCTTGTGAAGTAGCATTCAAACACAGAGTCACCAATAAAATTCAGTTCTTAGGCACTTCACTCAATCCACCTAGAAAGTAGACATTGATGACTTCGATCTGTGTAGATGAGGTTCGGCTCCACAACAATCAACCACTGCACAGAGGTGATGCAGAGGAACATGGGCAAAGCGACCTTTACATAGCATTTCCCCACATTACCCAAAGTCAGGGGAAATCTGAATTCTGCCACAACTTATGGCCAGTAGGAATTGTTGGACTGTTTCCCAAAGGGAACCAATCACAACTATTTCCATGGCCATCCTGCATTCTTTGGTCTCAGGCAACTTGGGGTCATGGGATGGCAGGCCCTACCCACCCCTGACTCCATATTGTGGTGGTCCCTGGCTATGATACAGGTCCTATCTTTTCTCTATCACTTGCTGTAATGTCGGTCAGGGCAATATAGAGCACTGGGGAGGAGGAGAGGAGAGATGAATCCATGCTCCCCCTACCAGCTCCCACCCCTCCTTTGGCTCCCTGTGACTCTGGTTGGCATCAGGGTTAAGTGTCAGGGAGCAGGTAGATCTTGTGTCACTGCTGGAGACTGCTGTGACACAGGAGGCTGAGGGGTGGCCTCCCAAGACTCTCTCCCCACTCCATGGCAGCTGGGGGAACAAAGTCCAGGGCCAATCTCACATCCAGAACTCTGTATTGGACCCAGGTTTGGAGTCATTGTAGATCTGCTCTTACTCCACAAAAGCTTATTCTACCAATGCCATTCTCTCAATCTCTCTCTAAAGTGCTGCACATGTGAAGAAGTGTTGGCAATGGGCATCCTTCCCATTTAAGAGATGGGTGGAAGCAGCTGCAGCATTCTCTTCCTTTGCAGATCAGACATTCAGGAGATGCTTTGCCATTGGATCTCAACTCTCTGGCTAAATTATACATGTGAAGGAAGTTTGGGGGAAGGGGAGGTAGCAGGCAGTGGCAGATGAGAGTGGGGACAAGAGTGAGGCTGGAGAGCTCTGGTTACAACCATCTTCCTAGCCTTCCCTCCCTGGGTTCACCCACCTACCTTGTCCCCTCTTCTCCCATTTCTGCTCTCTACCACATCATCTTCGACATCTCCTATGACAAATGATCTGTATCATGACCTGTACTCATCATTTAATCTGAATTATTATTCATATTTGTAAGTTAAACTGAATTGATCCTGATCCTGTTTAATTGCTCATTTCCATGATATTTCCTATACTATTACACGTTTCTATCGACCTTATTGAACCACTTACCCTTTAATCAGTTTATTGGCCTCCTTCCCCACTCCAAAATTAGTCTGTTGTTGCTTGATGCTTGTTTATTATTGTTATGCTGTTCTATGCTATTTTAATTTGAAATATGTTATTGTTCTCTTTTAATTGTATGTTGCCTGGGCTTGGCCCCATGTAAGCCGCCCCGAATCCTTTCAGGGAGATGGAGGCGGGGTCGAAAAATAAAGTTCTTCCTCCTCCTCCTCCTCCTCTTCTTCCTCTTCCTCTTCCTCTTCCTCTTCCTCTTCTTCTTCTTCTTCTTCTTCTTCCGTCATCCTTGTTCCACACCTCTGTAACACAGACCAGCTCAGTAGCCTCACTAAGGCTGAAGTTCATCCATTCTGATGTGTAACCAGGTACTGTCCTATGCATCCCTATAGCAATGCCACTGGTTCTATTGGTTATGGCAACAAGCTCTGCAATGGACAAGGAATGCTCATCGTGTGTCAAGTGTTTTCTACAGATTGCTTTCTTACTAATAATATGGATGTCCCTCTGTCCCTCTTACTAATAATATGGATGTCCCTCTAACTAAGGTTAGAGTTCACCCGTTCTGATGGTGTAACCAGGCACTGTCCTATGCATCCTTATATTGATGCCACTAGTTTTATTAATTATAACAACAAGCTATGGTGATGGACCAGGAATGTTGTAAAATACCCATCGTGTGTCAAGTGTTTTTCTACAGATTGCTTTCTTACTAATAATATGGATGTCCTCCCTCTATGGATCATAGATCTCCTATCATCATGCTCTATTTCTTCTCTCCTCCAGTGCCATTAAAGGACCCAATGACCCTCCAGGAAGTGAACCTGCCTCTCATCAAGCGAGAAACCTGCAATATTTATTATAATAGGGTTCCAGTCCAAGGCATGAGCTATAATCCTGTGAAGGCTGATATGTTATGTGCTGGTTATGAAATGGGCGGGAAGGGTTCCTGCCAGGTAAGAAGCTCCATCACCTGTTTTTTGTTGAGCCATTACTTGTCACAGGATATCATGCCCTATATCCAAAAGATATTAGGCCACCTACAATAATACAATAAATAATAGCATTAGCAATCTTCCAAAAAGATTAAATATATATCTAACAACACGCTGTGTGTGTGTGTGTGTGTGTGTGTGTGTGTGTGTGTGTGTGTGTAATCATTGAGCAATTTAAAGAAACTAGTTATAAAATAGTTACAACAAAACAAAATTGGGGGGGTCTGTTTCTGCTTTGAAAGTGTTATTTCCTGTTTAATTCTGTAGTACTTACTTTGAAAGTAGTTGTTGTTGTACTCCAGAAATTTCATTTTTTGTGGCTTCCACAAACTATGTTGAATTTGTTGAGACTCTAAGGACCTTATCACACACACAAACACACACCAATGAATTCCGGGAATAGTGCAACAGAAAGTGACCATTAGTTCTTCCTGTTCACTTCCTGTTCCAGAAAAAGATGTCTCATAAGTTTTAAATGACCCCCCAAAAGGAAAACATAGAGAAAATATCTTGCATTTGGGGTCTTTAGGGGAAAATGACCCCTGGCCACACAAAAACAAATGGATCTGAGGGCATATGTGGCCACACTTCACCTAGTCCAATGGATGCCATTGTTTGTATTGAGGGTGTGACTGACAGATTAAGTCTGGTCCATGCCCTTCCCTATCCAGCACTCCAAATGTGATCTTCAGAGTCTTTGCAACTGACATGTCTTACCAACCCTCATTTCCCTCCTCAGGGTGATTCTGGAGGACCTTTGGTTTGCAACGTACAAGGAAGCTGGTTTCAGGCTGGAATTGTGAGCTGGGGAGTAGGCTGTGCCCTGCGCAACTACCCCAGTGTCTACACATCAGTGCCTTACTATGCCAAGTGGCTCAGTGCTGGTTTGGAAGGTCATGATCCAAATAGTGCTGTTTTGGAAGGTAAGTGATCCAAAAACTGCTGGTTTGGAGGGTAGTGGTCCAAATAATGCTGATTTGGAGAGTAGTGATTCAAATAGTGGGTCAAAAAATGCACCCATTCTGGCAATCCTCGTGTTTTTTCTCCTATTGACCCTCTGCCTCATCACTCATTACATGGAATATCATGGTTCAGGGAAAACTGAAGAGCCTTCAAGTTTCATTACGGCCAAAAATTTCACAAATAATTATGGAAGTATTCATTCACTTTGCACTTCATTTAAGTGAACTGCAATGCATTTGGATCACCTATTTCAACTCCCTCCCCCTAAACTTGGAGACCTGTGACTTGGAGAAAATCTGAAATTTTTACATCAAACTCCAGACCTTGGTGATGAACAATACTTAGGATTTTTTCCACATAACACTTAAAGCACAATGAAATACGGAAGAGAGACTCCCAGAAATCACGTAATCTCTGAAGCAGCTGGTGATCCATAACATCAGTCTTACTTTTCCCTTTTTATTGTCGGTTCAGAAATGTAAACAACAGGAATCCAGATGTGACAGCTTTGGATTCCAGTGCCCAGAATCCTGCTTAGTCTTATCACAAAGACCCAGCTCTCTCAATGTGCTATCAAAAGCACACTGCATTTTTATTTTTTTTTAAAAAGGAAGGAAGGAAGGAAGGAAGGAAGGAAGGAAGGAAGGAAGGAAGGAAGGAAGGAAATGAAACAATGTCAGTAAATTCCAGTGCTAAAATCCACGTAGGGTTAAAACTCAGAGTAAGGTCTGAGACTTTGACAATATGGACCTCATGAGACCCCCATAGAGATAGGGAGGAATATAAATTATTATTATTATTATGCTTACTTAGCAAAGCATCCTATAACACTTTTATCCTGGTTTCATAACCAGGATAACGATCACATGATGTTGTGTGACTTCTGGCTGAGGCCCCACTCCCAAAGCATCTCTACAGACAGCTAAAGCATCTCTACAGACAGCTAAAAACATAAGTTATGCTGCCAGCATGACAGCATAACTATGGAGGCACCATATGAGGAAAGCGTCACCAAGAGGGAGATTTGCCTCGTTGCCCCTCTCCTTTTGCCCCAATGCCAGGCAAATCAGGATACTTCACCTGGCTTTTATGTTGAGGCCATATGATTGTACATTAGGCAGATTCTGATTTTTCAAGATGTTGAGAAAAGATCAGTCACATTGGAGAGGCAGTCACTTTTGCCCAAACCACAGAAACCCCTTGTTTTTCCAAATGTTACAATTAAATTAATTGATTATATTTTTCCATTTCGTTCAAATCAGAAAATGAGAGTTACTGCCTTTAAAAAAAGCCAGGATACTGAACCAATGTTAAACCATGGTGCAATATCTCGGCTAACCATAAGTTTCCAGTTTGAGTGAAATGAAACACTGTGGTCCCATCTACACTGTCATATAATGTGGTTTCAGAATGCAGATTAACCGTATTGAACTGGACTATATAGCAGTGTAGACTCATATAATCCAGTAAAATGCAGGCCAGTCTGCATACTGACCATTGTAATGTGGTTCACAGATATCTCAAATGATTAAGTCAAGCTCTGGTACATGGTATATATTTTCTATAATCTAAATCCTATTTACCCAAAACATCTTCCCTTTTTATATATATTCTCAGGTCCTACAAGCCCACCAGTAGGTAAGTGGTCTGCCTTTTTGAAAACATTTATGCACAGAATTTGGAAGTCAGAATTCAAAATAATCCAATAATTTAAACAAAAGCGTGATCTCTCTTAATTCACCACTTTTTCTTCTCTTTTTTTGTTTTTAATATTTTTAATTATTTTATTATAATTTAATAAATTTGTAATGCATTGTTTGTTTTACAGCAGATAATATTCAATACAATCTACCACACATTAACTTTTTATATATTCTCAGGTATTACAAGCTCACCAGTAGGTAAGTGGTCTGCCTTTTTGAAAACATTTATGCAAAGAATTTGGAAGTCAGAATTCAAAATAATCCAATCACTTAAACAAAAGCAGGATCTCCCCTAAATCACCACTTTTTCTTCTCTTTTTAATTTTTTAAAAATTCTATTATAATTTAATAATTTCTTATACATCGTTTGTTTTACTGCAGACACATAATATTCAATACAATCTACCATCCAACATGTGATTCTAGATGTGGCTATCAGTCAAAATCAGGAAAAAGAGAAACGGGAAATACAGGGGGGAAAAGATTTTCCAATCACCTGCTCTCTCAAAAGTTGCAAATACGTGTATGCCTCAGTGGGTAAATTATATTAATTACTTCTTTAACCAAAAAAATGGTACAAGAGGCAGTTAGTAGACCTGTAGTAGGAACACACAGTTACAATAGGATGAGCTCAAGAAGAATCCCATTTTGCTAATTGAGGTATGCCTCAATTTCAGATTTAACATTTTCAGATTTAATATTTGTGAATTTGATGAATATTTTCTCTCTAGAAATCTCTAGGTTCTCCAGCAAGACTCTATGAGCAACTCAATTACAAGTTCTGCATAGAGTCACTCTGACCAACCTATAGATCATAGGCCTGGGTAACAACGGAAAAATTGTTTCTAAAATCGATTTGTATTTGGGGTTTTTTTTTGTTTCGATATTTAAAATAATTACAAAATTTTCCTTTTAAAAAGTTCGATATTTACGAAAATTTCGTAAATGGTAAAAAATTAACGAATCGATTTCCGAAACAATAACGAATCGATTCGTTAATGGCGGACGCGACCACGAAATACGCTAAAAAACCTCCAAAACCTTCTGAAGCTTCCCTCTCCCTCTGTTGTTGACTGTTGGTGTGATATTATAATTTTTTTCACTAATTAAACCATAAAACTGGCCCAGACATGCGGAAATAATAACGAAACGACCTCAAAACAATAACGAAACGAATACAATAACGAAATACGAAGCATTTACAAAACGTTTTAAAAATTCGTTTTTTTTTAAAATTGCTCCAGAATGGTTCGTTATCGTTTTGTAATTGAAAAAAATAACGAATTATTAACGAATTACGAATTAACGAAACGAAACCGCCCAGCCCTAATAGATCAGTGTTTCCCAATCTTTTTTTGACCAGGGACCACTTTGGCCAAAGACCACTTCACCAGGGACCACTTTGACTGGGAACCACTCTCCAACATTAGTACCAAAAGGGTTACAAATCAGTTTTTGCTCAACTTTAGATTCGGTTTGGTTATTTGGGATGCCGATTCAGAAAATTGCATTGGATAGACCACATCAGCTCTAGTTTCTGATGCAGAACATATGGCATCCGGTAGTCGCCATCCACTCATCCATAGAAAACCATATTTAATAATATAGAGCTGACGTGGTAGTAGTAATCTTTTGTGGGTGGTCAGCCTCTCCCCTCCCGACATCCCCCTTGCCTCTGCATTATAAGAGGGTTTTGTAAGACTCTTGTTGCTATATGGTTTCGAGGCAACAGTGTAGTAACTGTGAGGTCAAAGACCATATTTTCATTCTTGCGGACCACTAGTGTCCAAGGTTGAGAACCACTACTATACATGTATGTCCTCTTGTGTTTAAAATAAATCATTTTAACTAGTGGCTTTTCCACATTCATGGGGTTTCTGCACCCCTAACCCCCATGAACATGGAGGGCTTACTGTACTATATCAGTAGTTCCCAACCTTTTTTTGACCCTGGACCACTTGACCAGAGAACATTTTGACCAGGGACCACTCCTCAACATTAGTACCCAAAAGGGTTACGAAACAGTTTTTGGTCAACTTTTGATTTGGTTTGGTTATTTGGGGTGCTGATTCAGAAAATTGCATTGGATAGACCACTTCAGCTCTAGTTTCTGATACAAGACATATGCTATCCAGTAGTCTCCATCTGCTTGCCCACAGAAAACCATATTTAGTAATCTGTCCTATTTCTTCTTCCTTTACAGTTTGTGGACAACCAGTGATCTCTGGACGGATTGTTGGGGGCCAAGCAGCCCCAAATGGGGCATGGCCTTGGCAAGTCACCGTTTTACGTTCTACCTATTTTGTATGTGGAGGCTCTCTCATAGACAAGGAGTGGGTGTTGTCAGCAGCACACTGCTTCTACAAGTAGGTATTTGGGCAATGCTATTATCTAGCCATTTATAAAGATTTGCTCCAGATTTATTTCAGAGATGTGGTTCAAGTTCTGTGTCTACCAGCTGGACTGAGCAAAGCAAAGATTTGCAGGAGAGAGCAATTTGCAGAAAATTAGTGAAGAGAACTTCTGGTTTGAAGACAAGTTAGTCCTCAAGCCAAGAATCTAGCTAGTAAATTTACAGTCTGTTACATAAGCATCTAGAAGGCTAAGTCCACTATCCAGTTGTGAGATCATTGTATCATAGGGGTTAGTATGGAGATTTGGAGACATAAACTAAGGACTTCATCACAATGAGCTGGAGAAAACGAAGGAAAAGGTGGAGTCATGGGGTTCTGTCTCTTAAGAAGACAAAGAATTTACTCACTCCCATCACACTAAGGGCCATACCACACAGTCCTATATCCCAGAATATCAAGGCACAAATCCCACATTATTTGAGTGTGGACTCAGATAACCCAGTTCAAAGCAGATATTGTGGGATTTTCTGCCTTGTTATTCTGAGATATAGGGCTGTGTGAAAGGGCTCTAGGATCACCTCCTCCAGCTTCCAATTCAACCATTTGTTTAATTTCCATCACATAGGCAGGTGATGATTTCTCCCATTTCAAGGATACCAACACATTTTTTAAAGCAGGCATCCTTTAAGGCAGCCCTTCCTTCAAACCCCTTAAACTGAAACAGAAGCACCTTTCTTAAAGTGGCACTTTCCCTGGGGTTGTTTGCACTGAGATTTTCTCCCTTTGTCCCTCCAGGATTTCAATTAGACAAGCCAACAAAATAAAACTTTTTGTGATAATCAGAAATGAGAGGGCACAGTTTAAATCAATTTTTATGCTGATTTTATTTTTTTCCCATCACAACAACTTTTGTCATGATGGGAAATATGATGAATGATACATTACAACAAACTGCTGTAAAGTCTGCACATTTCACAACATATTTGTGTAACACAAGCCAACAAGTATTTTTCATCAGATATAATTTTGAGTCATTCTTATAAAGTTTTTGCACTGAATTTAGATTTGTGTTTATTTTTTTCTTTATCCCGTGTAGTGTTTGTGATGAGGCTAATTGAATAATTAATGCATTTACACACTGATATCAATTAGATTCTATTGATATAAGTGCGTAAATGCATTAATTACTCAATTAGCCTCAGCGCTAAAATTACACATGAAAAAGAAAAAAATAAACACAGATCTGAATTCAGTGCAAACAAAACTCTGTAAGAATGACCTAAAATTATATCTGATGAAAAATACTTGTTGGCTTGTGTTACACGAATATGTTGTGAAATGTGCAGACTTTACAGCAGTTTGTTGTAATGTATCATTCAAATTGTAGGAAGTGGTTTTAAATTAACCCATTCCCGCAAGCCGCTGCATTGGTGATCTGGGGAAATGGGCATTTTGGCTCCTCCCACACACAGCATCATCGTTTTATTTACAAACGGGCAATAAAAGTGGGCAACCGTGATTAACATCACACTGGGAAATTAGCCATTTGGCCTGTCACTATGGGGGGAGGGAGATTTAAAAATAAGTCATTAGCCAATCAACTCAGGAATCATTGGAAAAATCAACACTTTAGAAACTGCAAAATACCTCACCTCCATAGTTGAAGCTTGTGTCAGTGAAGGGCATAGTGGTTGCATTTTATAAAATGTGTAGAAACAGTGATTTTAACCTAGTAATTTGAAAGGGATGGAAGATAATAACATCATCAAACCATTCCCTCCTGAATCACTGGAAATGCTCTTATATTACAAGCGAGACCTGTATAGTCATTTTGTCCTGAGGCCACCCAAACCTGTTGCCTCATATACAGTGAAGAACATTATTTTTTCACCAATATTTAAGTACAATCCAGTGGATAGTCCAAATCTATCCCTGAAAATGAGAAGGTTGCCATCTGGTACTTCACCTCAGGTAACAGAACACCTGCGCTTTGTGATACGGTGATTTGCAGTACAGTGATTCTATTCTGAGCTTTGCAACACAGTGATAAAATACAAAATTGTTAACTACAGGATTTTTTATTGTTCTCTCTACATTTTTATAGCAGTTTTTTTGTTTCTGCAATAAAAACACAAAAAGTCTACTATGCTATGCTATGCTATGCTATGCTATACTATACTATACTATGCTTTTTTTACAACAGGGTGGCATGGTTTACAGAGGTTTGGGCTAAATCAAGCCTGAACTTCCCCTACAAGTCAAAAAATGTTTAATAGAGTCTATTGTACTTTAGATATAACATACACCCTAAAACAACATGACTCACCAAAAAAGATGAAAAGCAGTAGGAAAGGGGAGGGCGGGGGACCTCCAGGTTGATGGACTCCATCAAGGCAGTCATAGTCCTGAGTCTGCAACAGCTAAAATGGGCTATTTACAAGAAACATGTCTTGAAGGTCTTTCATTCATATTGTTTTGTGTGCTTTCCAATCATTTCCCATTAATGACAACAATTTATGTACAAAGCATCACAGCTAATAGGAGTTATACAGTTCCACATCTCAACAACCACTTGATTCCCATTCCTAGCCTAGTGTAGTTAGGTGATAAGATTATTTGACTTTATCTGGTCATAGTTCTCTGGTATCCCAAGTATTTTGGCCATCAGCAGCACAACAGGTGAGATTGTACAAGTCTTGAAGTAACCTCAAACTTAGCACTGCAACTTCTTGTTGTATATTTCTCTTGTATTCATAGTGACACAAACCCTGATGAATATCTCCTGTTATTTGGAGCCTATGAACTCTTCAACCTCTCAAACGATGTGGTAGTCAGACGTGTGAAAACGATTATCTTCCATTATAACTACAATGGTGATGTTGGCTCCATTGGGGATATTGCTTTACTTCAACTCTCATTACCTGTGGATTTCACCAACAACATCCTCCCTGTTTGTATGCCAAAGTCATCTTCAGAATTCTATGCAAACACCAATTGCTGGGTGACAGGATGGGGAAATACACAATACAAAGGTGAGAAATGTTCTTTGCCATGCCTACTCAGCCTCTGCTGACTCTCATGACAAATATTTCATTTTATAGGTGAGAGGGACAATTCAGCTCCTTTCCCTAGGAAATTTAAGGAAATTTAAGGAAGAATAAGAATGGGGTGTGCAACTTACTAAGGGTCCATCCAGACCCTTATATCTACTGCAATAAAAGAGAGGTTGTTCAGACAACATTTTGGACAGTCCTGAATTAATTTGCTACAAACTCAGAAAACCCTGGTTTGTTGCAAATTAATTACATAATGGATTTATTCAGTGCCTTCTTGGAAGGCGCAGGATAAACCCACTATTTCTGGTGTCTGAACTACAGTCCAGACACCATTCCCATCATTTATGAGGCTAATTAAGCCCAGTAAACTGTGGGAATACCCACCCCACTCCCACAAAGCCCCCAGACTCCTTTGAAAAGTAATGAAAACTTACCTGGCCTTCGAGCCACTCTCCTGGCATGTAGAAATTACACGCCAGGAGAATTGGGGGGGGGGGGGAGGAAAATCACTCTCCCCCCCCCCCTTTCTTGGCACATCATTTATTCATGCAGGGAGAGCTGCTTGAAGTCTGTAGTTCTGGTTACAACCATCTTCCTAGCCTTCCCTCCTTTTGTCCACCCACCTACGTTGTCCCCTCTTCTCCCATTCCTGCTCTCTACCATCATACTTGTTCTACACCTCTGTAACATGGATCAGCTCAGTAGCCTAACTAAGGTTGGAGTTCACCCATTCTGATGGTGTAACCAGGTACTGTCCTATGCATCTTTATATTGATGCCACTAGTTTTATTAATTATAACAACAAGCTATGTGATGGGCCAGGAATGTTGTAAAAATACCCATCGTGTGTCAAGTGTTTTTCTACAGATTGCTTTCTTACTAATAATATGGATGTCCTCCCTCTATGTATCAAAGGTCTCCTATCATCATGCTCTGTTTCTTCTCTCCTCCAGTGCCATTAAAGGACCCAATGACCCTCCAGGAAGTGAACCTGCCTCTCATCAAACGAGAAACCTGCAACATTTATTATAATAGGGTTCCAATCCAAGGCATGAGCTATAATCCCGTGAAGGCTGATATGTTATGTGCTGGTTATGAAATGGGTGGGAAGGGTACCTGCCAGGTAAGAAGCTCCATCACCTGTTATTTGTTGAGCCATTGCTTGTCATAGGAAATCCTGCCCTAAAACCAAAAAATATTAGGCTACTTACAATTATACAATAAATAATAGCATTAACAATCTTCTAAAAAGATTAAATATATGTATCTAACAACACATTGAATATATATCTAATCACTGAGCAATTAAAAAACTGGTTATAAAATGCTCATAAGAAACGTTCAATAGCACTATGTAACAAAATTTGGAAAAAAATCTGTTATTGCTTTAAAAGTGTACTCCAGAAACTTCATTTTTGTGGCTGCCACAAACTATGTTGAAATTGTCGAGACTCTAAGGACCTTATCACACACACACACACACACAGAGTTTCGTCAGCAAGTGTGGCAAACCAGCAGGTGCATGGGGCAACTCAATTACCACATACCCTGGCACCATAACGCACACTGGTTGGGCATGAAGCCTCCATCGGAAGTTAAAGGATGTCATGTGACTGATCAGTGTTATGAGGTCCTATAAGATATTTGTTGAAAAACTATAGCAAAATGTGCTGCAGGCTATCCCACATAAACAATTTGTTGCAGTTTCTAAAACTTTAAAAAAAATATGATAGAACCAATTAGGAAAAGACATTTATTACCCTGGAACAAAAATCATATTACATGATGCAATGCAACCACGAGACGTTTACTCTTGGCACAAAAATGAGCTCAAGATTGCCACCAATTGAATTTCTGGAGGGAAAGAATTCCACAACTGAGGTGCCACCACAGAGGAGTCCTTTCAACAGTATAGTTCCTCTACTGGTAGAACACAGAGGAGGAGGAAAAATCTCCTGAAATGCTTACATATGAAATTCTTGTACATGCCATATATACAGGGTGGCCAAGAAATGTTTGAGAGACACATTAACCTTTTTCTTTTGTACCATGTATACTGATGTATAAGTTGACCTCATATATCAGTCGAGGTAGATTTGGGCGACAAAATTATGGATTTTGATATGACCCATGAATAAGTTGAGGATAATTTTAGAGAAAGGGGACAGCCTCGGTGCCACTCAGGAGTCTAGTTACCCCTGGCTTTCTCTACCATTTTTCCTGCCCAGGCATCCAAAAAGCCAACAGTTGCAAAATGAGTGAACCAATTCTTACCAATTTGTCTCTGTCTAGTATAAAGTGCCTGAATATAAGCACAAAATCTTGTCTGGTCTCAGTAGTTAAGCAGAGTCTGCCCTAGTTTATGCTTGGATAGGAGAGACTGCCAATGCATTCCAGGAGTAGTGCAACAGAAAGTGACAATTAGTTACTTCCTGTTCACTTCCTATTCCAGAAAAATTGTGTCTCATAGGTTTTAAATGGCCCCAAAATGGGAAAAACATACAGAACATGTCTTCCATGTGGGGGCCTTTGGGAGACAATGACCCCTGGCCGAACAAAAACATAGATCTGAGGGCATATGTGGCCACGCTTCACCTACTCCAATGGGTGCCATTGTTTGCCCTCACCTACTCAGCACTCCAAATGTGATCTCCAGAGTCTTTGCAACTGACATGTCTTACCAACCCTCCTTTCCTTCCACAGGGTGACTCTGGAGGACCTTTGGTTTGCAACATACAAGGAAGCTGGTTCCAGGCTGGAATTGTGAGCTGGGGAGTAGGCTGTGCCCTGCGCAACTACCCCAGTGTCTACACATCAGTGCCTTACTATGCCAATTGGATCAGTGCTGGTTTGGAAGGTCGCGATCCAAATAGTGCTGTTTTGGAGGGTAAGCAATCCAAATAGTGCTGCTTTGGAGGGTATTAATAATTATAATAACAATAATAGCACCATTTTATTTATATTCCATCCTATCTCTCCAAGTGGACTCAGGGCAGATCACAGTACACATACACGGCAAGCATTTAATTCCATTTTTGAAAGACAATACAGAGACAGACAGAACAGAAAGGAGGTATGTTGTGACAACGTCCAGCATTTTGGCACCTTGGAAGGTTGTGCTCGAATCCAGCTACGGGGGGGGGGGGGGGGGGGGTGCTGTCGCTCCATCCTCTATGAAAAAGAGCCATCAGGACTTCCTCCTTCCTTTTGTTCACCTGGCATTTTCTGATCTTTTTTCTTTATGGTGTCATAAAATACCTCTACACAATATCCCAGAGTACTTGTAAGGTATCAGCACAAACACAAAACAATCTATGCGTAATGCCAAAGTGTATTATCAAAAGCGCATATAGTATTCCATTTACCGAAATCCCCAGTACATAGCTCAATTCAGTGGTACACAGCAAAATCAAAAGGAGCAGCCGCTCTCAAACGTAACAGTTCTCGGTCTGGATAAGGATTCCACTGTATATAGGCTTCAGGGATACATTCAATAAGAAAAGTCATATAAACAAAGTAAGCATTGAGTCATGAGGCTATAAGTAAACTGAAGACAATAATGAAGATGGAGCACCACTCTCAAAACAATCTTCATGGAAAAAATCCAAATCAAGTCCAGTGAAAATGGAGCACTGCTTCTCATAAAATATCTCCCCCTCATTGTTTAGAGGTGCCTTATTTCCCTAATTACATCTCAAGCTGTTTTCGAACTGGTTAGGTCAGCAGTAAGCTGGGCTTTACAGTCGGCAGCTCACACTGACCCGGGGCTTTGAACTGCCAACCTTTCGGTTGGTAGATCTTATCATTGCTGGTGATTTACCAGCTGTGCTAAACCCTGGCCCCGGTAGCAATCCAAATAGTGCTGGTTTTGGAGGATAGCGATCCAAATTGTGCTGGTTTGGAGGGTAGTGGATCACAAAATGCACATAGTGGATCACAAAATGCACTTTTTCTGGCAATCCTTGTGTTTCTTCTCCTGTTGACCCTCATGTGCGTATTATTATTATTATTATTATTATTATTATTATTATTATTACGCTTACCTAGCAAAGCGTCCTAGGACACTTTTATCCTGACTTCACTACAGAGCCCCATGCTGGCCATTGCATGACGTTGTGTGACTTCTGGCTGAGGCTCTACTCCCAACTGACATCAAAGTGTCACTGCAGCCTTTGCTAGCAGCATGAGACTTATGGAGCCCCCATATGGGGAAACTATGGAGTCCCCATACGGGGAAAGCATCGCTGAGGGGGCGCTGCCAGCGAGGCGATAGATTAGCCTCACTGTCCCTCTCCTTTTGCCCCAATGCCAGGCAAAGCAGGATGCTTCACCTGCCTTTTATGATAACGACAGGCACCACCTAAAATATGACGCGGCTCACCAAAAATATGAAGCCGTCAAAAGGAAGAGGGAATATGGTTGGAAAATCAGTTGTATACATTTAAACTTCTTTTTGAATTAGTTGTTGAAATATATCCCACTGAAATATAACAATATCAGGTGAAATCAAAGCAGAGAAGGTGAGAGACACTTAGTATTTTAAAAGGTAGAAACTGGGAAACCCTTAAACTGGGAGACTTAAAATGATTCTTCAAATGAATTCCGCTGCCACCATTCCAATAATAATCAGGCTGAGGTAATAATGTGAGTTTGTTCTGTACCACACATTGTGCCACTATAGTTTCTTAGTGGATGCTGTGAGGCTGACTTTAGGAGTACTTTTACCACAAAGGTACACACACTGAGGCTGGTATAAGTTAACAAAGAAACAAGAATGTTTATTGAACAAGCTTGAAATAATTCAAGTACAAATGCTTGATGGTTTCAGAAAGCACTGGCATGAAAAGCTTGCGGTTCCGTTAGAGTAAAAATCTTAAACACTTCTGGGTTACAAGTCTTCAAAGTTCCACCACAGAAAATTACTTCAGGAAATTATTATCTGAAAGTAACTCCCAAAACTGCCCCTTAAGAATCTAGCCAAAAATACCCTGAACTAGACTTCCCTTGGAATGAACAGTCCACTAACTGGGCACTGCTCCACAACAGTATTCTAGCTATCTACTAATAGCTACTCTGAATACCTCACAAAAGACTGACCCAATCTTCTTCTCAAAACCCAAACTCACTCTGAACTAACGCCAACTCTCTCTTCGACAACTCCAAATCCTAACTGCCTAACTGGGACTTCAAGGCTCTGTTTAAAAGGACACTTTTTTCCTCTGGACCACTTAGGTTCCACCCCCATCTTTCTAGCCAATCCTAGCCTCCTTAATTTTCCTCTAAGACTTGAACACCCCCTCAAGGAAAATACCTAACTAAAATGGCTTCTCCCTGGCTCCCTTTTCTAAAATGGACACCATGGCTTCGCCAGGCCCACTCCCTTAGGCTTCAGCCAGTCGGCCAGACACCAGGCAAAGCAGGATGCTTCACCTGGCTTTCATGATGCATACATGTGATTTACATTTGGCAAGCATGCTGATTTTTCAAGATGTTGAGAACAGACCAACCACATTGTAGCGGTAGTTACTTTTGTCCAAACCACAGAAACATCTTTCTTTTCCCAAATATTGCAATTAAATTAATTGAATGTCTTTTTCTATGTCATTTCAAATCAGAAAGCTATGGTTACTGCCTTTGAAAAAAGCCAGAATTCTGAACCAGTGTTAAATCATGGTGCAATTTCTCGGCTAACCATAATTTAACTGCCACATAAAGCAGTTTCAGAATGCGGATTAACCACATTGAACTGGACTATATAGCAGTGTAGACTCATATAATCCAGCTCAATGCAGGTCAATCTGAATTATAAGAGTCTATACTGACCATTGTAATGTGGTTCACAGATATCTCAAATGATTAAGTCAAGCTCTGGTACATGGTATATATTTTCTATAATCTAAATCCTATTTACCCAAAACATCTTCCCTTTTTATATATATTCTCAGGTCCTACAAGCCCACCAGTAGGTAAGTGGTCTGCCTTTTTGAAAACATTTATGCACAGAATTTGGAAGTCAGAATTCAAAATAATCCAATCATTTAAACAAAAATGGGATCTCCCTTAATTCACCATTTTTTCTTCTCTTTTTTGTTTTTAATATTTTTATTTATTTTATTATAATTTAATACATTTGTCATGCATTGTTTGTTTTACAGCAGTTACATAATATTCAATACAATCTACCATACATTAACTTTTTATATATATTCTCAGGTATTACAAGCTCACCAGTAGGTAAGTGGTCTGCCTTTTTGAAAACATTTATGGACAGAATTTGGAAGTCAGAATTCAAAATAATTCAATCCTTTAAACAAAAGTGGGATCTCCCTTAATTCACCACTTTTTCTTCTCTTTTTAAATATTTTTAAATTTTTATCATAATTTAATACATTTCTTATACATCGTTTGTTTTACAGCAGACACATAATATTCAATACAATCTACCATCCAACATGTGATTCTAGATGTGGCTATCAGTCAAAATCAGGAAAAAGAGAAACGGGAAATACAGGGGGGGAAAAGATTTTCCAATCGCCGGCTCTCTCAAAAGCTGCAAATATGTGTATACCTCAGTTGGTAAATTATATTAATTACTTCTGTAACCAAAATAATTGGTACGAGAGGAAGAAATAACATGGAAAAATAGGGATAGATTTCTAAACTACAAAAAAGAATATGTCAATATGTTTTGGTAACTCGTTGATCCCGAACTAAAATGAACCAACCAGCTCAGGTAAGCCTAGCACGTCAACAAACACATTTTGAACCTTTTAGAGACCACTTGAAAGCTTCTGAAGTTGATCAAGAGATAACTTTTACACCTTCAAACCTCCAATTCTCTTATGATTTCTATTTGGTTGATCAAACTTATAAATTTATACTTTTGAAGCATGTGTATGGTAACAGGTATTTACTCCTTTTCTTTCTGTTGAGATGTTCACATAGCCAGGGATTCAGAAGGCAGTTAGTAGACCTGTAGTAGGAACACACAGTTACAATAGGATGAGCTCAAGAAGAATCCCATTTTGCTAATTGATGTATGCCCGTGGTAATTTTAATCAACCCTCCACATTTGCAGATTTAATGTTTGTGAATTTAATGAATATTTTCTCTCTAGAAATCTCTATGATCTCCAGCAAGACTCTCTGGGTAACTCAATTACAGGTTCTGCATAGAGTCACCTATAGATCAGTGTTTCCCAAATTATTTTTTTTGACCAGGGACCACTTGATCAGGAATCACTCTCCAACATTAGTACCAAAAGGGTTACGTGTGCTGTCGCACACTGGGTCTGAAATAATATCTGTTTACAGGATGTGCCTTCTGTATGCCCAATGGGACGCCGGGGTGCCTCAGCTGAAGGGCCCCTTAGATTTCCCAACACAAAGTTCTATTGTGGCTCAAAATAAATTCAACAAAGTTCTTTATTTGGGCTTAAATCTTTAAACAAATGAATTAAACGCTTTATAATCTTAGAAAACCGGTAGCTTTCTCAATCTGTCAACAAGGGGCAGGCAACTGGTGGTAAACTGTTCCTTTCTTCCTTAGGGAAATCTTCTGATGCCTCCTTGGGCAATCTTTCTTTACCTTGCTGGCGTGAGGCCCCTATTCCCGGCTCCAAGCTACTTTATGGATAGCCCGAGTGGTCCCTTACCAGACAAGATTTCTGTAGATCTGCCAAGCTGAAAGGTGTCCTTTAGATTACTCCATGAAGGCTGTAGGAACTGTCCTGTTGCCCCAGCAAAGGCTGGCTATATTCCCCCAGCAAAAGCTGTGGAACTATTCCTTTACTCCCCCAGCAGAGCTGTGACTAGTGAAGCCTTTGTGCAGGTGGGATAGAGAAACCCACACATCCTGCTGTTAGGCTTCAAACAATGAGACTGAACAAAAGTCCTCCTTTTCTTCCAAAACCCTGGGAAAAGGATGGATCTAAAGACTCTAACAATGATTGCTAGGTTGCTGGCCCTATGACTGCAACTTGGGGAAGCTACCTGATTGCAAAAAGCATGGCTTATATAAATTCATACAAACTAGCAGTGCAAGAAAAAGAGGTTCAAATCTCCTGGCACTGCCATGCCAGCACATTATGAATCAGGTTTTGGTCACCTTTAGATTCAGTTTAGTTATTTGGGGTTCTGATTCAGAAAATTACATTGGATAGACCACATCAGCTCTAGTTTCTGATACAGAACATATGGCATCTGGTAGTCGCCATCCACTCACCCACAGAAAACCATATTTAATAATCTAGAGCTGACGTGGTAGTAGTAATCTTTCGTGGGTAATCAGCCTCTCCTCTCCCAACATCCCCCTTGCCTCTGCACTACTCTTGCAAGACTCTTGTTGCTATATGGTTTCGAGGCAACAGTGTAATAACTGTGAGGCCACAGACCATATTTTCATTCTTCCGGACCACTAGTGTCCAAGGTTGAGAACCACTACTATACATGTATGTCCTCTTGTGTTTAAAATAAATCATTTTAACTAGTGGCTTTTCCACTTTCCTGGGGGTTTTTGCACCACTAACCCCCAGGAACCACTTTCCAACATTAGTACCAAAAGGATTAAGAATCGGTTTTTAGTCAACTTTAGATTTGGTTTGGTTATTTGGGGTGCTGATTCAGAAAATTGCATTGGATAGACCACTTCAGCTCTAGTTTCTGTTAAAAAACATATATCATCCAGTAGTCGCCATCTGTTTGCTCAGAGAAAACCATATTTAATAAGCTGTCCTGCTTCTTCTTCCTCTACAGTTTGTGGACAACCAGTGATCTCCGGACGGATTGTTGGGGGCCAAGCAGCCCCAAACGGGGCATGGCCTTGGCAAGTCACTGTTTTACGTTCCACATATTTTATATGTGGAGGCTCTCTCATAGACAAGGAGTGGGTGTTGTCAGCAGCACACTGCTTCTATAAGTAGGTATTTGGGCAATGTTATCATCTAGCCATTTATAAAGATTTGCTCCAGATTCATTTCAGAGATGTGGTTCAAGTTCTGTGTCTACCAGCCAGACTGAGCAATGCAAGAATTTGCAAGAGAGAGCAATTTCTGACAAATGAGTGAAGGGAACTTCTGGTTTGAAGACAAGCTAGTCACCAAGCCAAGAATCTAGCTAGCAAATTTACAGTCTGTTACATAAGCACCTAGAAGGCTAAGTCCACTATCCAGCTGTGAGATCATTGTATCATAGGGGTTAGTATGGAGATTTGGATACATAAACTAAGGACTTCATCACATTGAGCTGGAGAAAACAAAGGAAAGGGTGGAGTCATGGGGTTCTGTCTCTAAAGAAGACAAAGAATTTACTCACTCCCATCACACTAAGGGCCATACCACACAGTCTTATATCCCAGAATATCAAGGCAGAAAATCCCACATTATCTGAGTGTGGACTCAGATAACCCAGTTGAAAGCAGATATTGTGGGATTTTCTACCTTGTTATTCTGGGATATAGGGCTGTGTGGAAGGGCTCTAGGATCACCTCCTCCAGCTTCCAACTCAACCATTTGTTTAATTTCTATCACATAGGCAGGTGATGATTTCTCTCATTTCAAGGATACCAACACACTTTTTAAAGCAGCTATCCTTTAAGGCAGCCCTACCTTCAAACCCCTTAAACTGAAACAGAAGCACCTTCCTTAAAGTGGCACTTTCCCTGGGGTTGTTTGCACTGAGATTTTCTCCCATTCTCCCTCCAGAATTTCAATTGGACAAGCCAACAAAATCAAACTTTTTGTAATAATCAGAAATGAGAGGGCACAGTTTAAATCAATTTTATGCTGATTTTAAATATGTGTTTATTTTTTCCATCATGACAACTTTAAATTGATGAATGATATATTACAGCAAGCTACTGTAAAGTCTGCACATTTCACAACATATTCATGTAACACAAGCCAAAAAGTATTTTTCATCAGATATAACTGAGTCATTCAAACAATTAATGCATTTACACACTGATATCAGTTAGATTCTATTGATATCAGTGCGAAAATGCATTAATTAATTATTATTTATTATTTATTTATTTCGAGCTTTTATAACCTGGTCTTCTCGACCTCCGAAAAGGGACTCAGGCCGGCTAATAGCAGAGGGTGAAAATACAATAAGATAAACCACGGTAAACATCATAATACAATAGTACAAAATACATTAAAATACAATTATACAACTTACAAAAGGTCAGTTCGTCAGAATAAATCATAAATTCATCGCCATCCGCCCGTGTGGTCAGCAGTTATTGACTCAGTCATCATTCTGCAAATGCAGTATTCCAAAGCCATGTTTTTACCAGCTTTCTAAAAGTGAGGAGGGAAGCGGCAGATCTAATCTCCATCAGGAGGGAGTTCCAGAGCCGAGGGGCCACCACTGAGAAGGCCCTGTCCCTCGTTCCCACCAATCGCGATTGAGAAAGAGGAGGGACCAAGAGCAGGGCCCCTCCAGAAGATTTTAACAACCTTGATGGTTCATAGGGGAGAATCCGTTTGGACAGGTAAATTGGGCCGGAGTCATTTAGGGCTTTATAGGTCAACACCAGCACTTTGAATTGTGCTCGGAAACTGATTGGCAGCCAGTGGAGCTGACACAACAGAGGAGTAGTATGCTCCCTGTACCCCACTCCTGTTAGTAGCCTGGCTGCTGCTCATTGGACTAGTTGTAGCTTCCGGGCAGTCTTCAAAGGCAACCCCACATAGAGAGCGTTGCAATAGTCTATACGGGATGTAACCAGAGCATGGACCACCGTGGCCAGATCAGACTTCCCAAGGTATGGGCGCAGCTGGCGCACAAGTTTTAATTGTTCAAAAGCTCCCCTGACCACCGCCGAGACCTGGGGTTCCAGGCTCAGCGATGAGTCCAGGATCACTCCCAATCTGTGAACCTGTGCCTTCAGGGGGAGTGTAACCCCGTCAAGCACAGGCTGTAACCCTATGCCATGTTAGGCCTTTCGACTGACCTGGAGGACCTCTGTCTTGTCTGGATTTAGTTTCAATCTGTTAGCCCCCATCCAGTCTAATTAATCAATTAGCCTCAGCGCAAAAATTACACATGATAAAGAAAAAATAAACACCTATCTGAATTCAGTGCAAAGAAAACTCTAGAAGAATGACCTAAAATTATATCTGATTAAAAATACTTGTCAACTTGTGTTATTTATCCTTTTTTTAAAAAATCACCAAAAATCGTAGGAAGTGATTTTAAATTAACCCTTTCCGCAAGCCTCTGCATAGATGATCTGGGAAAATGGGCATCATCGTTTTATTTACAAACGGGAAATAAAAAAGTGGGCAACTGTGATTAACATCACACTGAGAAATTAGCCATTTGGCCTGTCACAATGGGGGGGATTTAAAAATAACTCATTTGCAAATCAACTCAGGAAGCAGGTGAAAACTGTGGTTGGATGCTCCATCAAACTTATCCATAATCCATTTCCAAGCTATTGTCAACATTTTTATTGTCATTGTCCGCTTAATTGGCATGGTTTACAGAGGTTTGGGCTAAATCAAGTCCGAACTTCCCCTACATGCCAAAAAATGTTTAACAGAGACTATTGTATTTTATATCTACCATATACCTTAAAACAACATGACTCACCAAAACAGATGAAAAGCAGTAGGAAAGGAGTGGGGCGGGGGGGGGGGGGGGGAGAGAGAGATCCAGGTTGATGGACTCCATCAAGGCAACCATTGCCCTAAGAGTGCAAGAGCTGAAATGGGCTATTATAAGCAACAGGTTTTGAAGGCCTTTTATTCATATTGTTTTGAGTGTTTTCCAATTATTTCCCATTACTGACAACAATTTGTGTACAAGCCATCACAGCTAATGGGAGCCACACAGTTCCACATCTCAACAACCACTCGATTCCTACTCCTAGCCTAGTGTAGTTGAGTGACAAGATTATTTGACTTTATCTGGTCATAGTTCTCTGGTATCCCAAGTATTCTGGCCATCAGCAGCACAACAGGTGAAATTGTACAAGTCTTGAAGAAACGTCAAACTTAGCACTGCAAGTTCTCGTTGTATATTTCTCTTATATTCATAGTGACACAAACCCTGATGAATATTTCCTATTTTTTGGAGCGTATGAACTCTTAAACCTCACAAACGATGTGGCAGTCAGACGTGTGAAAAGGATAATCATCCATTATGACTACAATGGTGCCGATGGCTCCAGCGGGGATGTCGCTTTACTTCAACTCTCGATCCCTGTGGATTTCACCAACAACATCCTCCCTGTATGTCTGCCAGGATCATCTGCAGAATTCTATGCAAACACCGATTGCTGGGTGACAGGATGGGGAAATACACAATATGGAGGTGAGAAGTGTTCTTTGCCGTGCCTACTCAGCCTTTGCTGACTCTCATGACAAATATTTCATTTTACAGGTGAGAGGGATGAGGCCAGAGACAAGTTCCAGGGTAAGGCCCAGCGCCTGGCTCGCCCTCCCCTCCTTCTCTTCCTCCTCCTTCTTCCTCCCCCCCCCCCCCCCCAGCTCCTGGGGGGAGGAAAAAACTGCAAAACAGGGAGTCCGCAGTAAGCAAACCGCAAAATAGCGAGGGAACACTGTAAATCGCTACAATTACCAAACCAAACATCCCAAAACAAATATATGCCCTTTTCAAATAACCCATGTATTGCCAAGCTAGTATATAATAGAAGTGTCTATCCAAATAAATTTCCAACACATTCCAAGGCAGCATATTATAATATATTCTTACTATAGTATGGATTCAACCCTTAATACCCCGAAGTAGTATGTCTTTAAGTCTAAAGCTGTAAAGAAGGGGGGGGGGGGCTACATCTCCCTAACCTCATTGCATGCAACATCCACCATTAGATTTCAAAGAGAGGAGAGTTTTTTCCAACAAAAAACAAGGGGGAGGGACACTGGGTGGGCAGGGCCAAATCTCTATATTGTGAAACTGAAGACTACAGCGTACAACTGAGTAACATGGATTTAACAGTGTGATGAAGATAGGAAAATCATTCTATTTCATTTCAAAACGGAGTATGACTGAGCACTACTATAAACATACTGGTGCTGTCCTATGTGTCCATATAGTGATGCCACTGGTTCTATTGGTTATGGCAACAAACTCTGGTGATGGGCAAGGAATGTTGTGCAAATGTCCATCATGTGTCGGGTGTTTTTCTACAGATTGCTTTCTTACTAATAATATGGATGTCCTCCCTCTATGTATCAAAGGTCTCCTGTCATCATGCTCTGTTTCTTCTCTCCTCCAGTGCCATTAAACGACCCAATGACCCTCCAAGAAGTGAACCTGCCTCTCATCAAACGAGAAACCTGCAACATTTATTATAATAGGGTTCCAATCCAAGGCCTGAGCTGGAATCCTGTGAAGGCTGATATGTTCTGTGCGGGTTCTGAAATGGGTGGGAAGGATTCCTGCCAGGTAAGAAGCTCCATCACCTGATCTTCAGTGAACCTTTGCCTGTCATAAGATAACCTGCCTATATTCAAAAGATATCAGGGCACCTACAATAATACAATAAATAATAGCAATCTATTATTATCAATCTAATCTATATATCTGGAGCCCCCAGTGGCACAGTGGGTTAAATCGCTCAACTGCTGAGCTTGTTGACCAAAAGGTCGCAGGTTCGAATCCGGAGTGCGGCATGAGCTTCCATTGTCAGCCCCAGGTTCTGCCAACCGAAAACAGTTCGAAAACATGCAAATGTGAGTAGATCAATAAGTACCACTCTGGCGGGAAGGTAACAGTGTTCCATGCAGTTATGCCGGCCACATGACCTTGGAGGCATCTATGGACAACGCCGGCACTTCGGCTTAGAAATGGAGATGAGCACCACACCCCAGTGTCGGACACGACTGGAGTTAATGTCAGGGGAAAACCTTTACCTTTAATCTTTATATCTAGTCATTGAGCAATTTTAAAACTGGTTATAAAATGGTTATAACAAATATTAAATAACACTACGTAACAAAATTTGAAAACATTTCTGTTTCTGCTTTGAAAGTGTTATTTCCCATTTAATTCTGCAGTACTTACTTTGAAAGTAGTTGTTTCTGTACTCCAGAAACTTCATTTTTTGTGGCTGCCACAAACTTTGTTGAATTAGTTGAGGCTTTAAGGATCTTATCACACACACGTTCCAGAAAGTGTGGCAAACTGGTAGGTGTGGGGGACAACTTCATCACTCTACACACTACACACCCCAACACAGCAATGCCCAACCAGGAAAGAAATGTGCTGGATCCATTGGATGCATCCTAGGATGCTTCCAGACTGGTTGGGGATGGAGCCTTCACCTAAAGTTAAGGACATCATTTGATTGGTAAGTGTGATGAGGCCCTATAAGATATTTGTTGAAAAACTATAGCAAAATGTACTGCAGGATATCCCACAAAAACATTTTTTTTCTGCAGTTTAATAAACTTTAGCCATGTTCTTATGATAGAACCAATGCATTTATAACCCAGGAACCAAAACCGTGTTACGTGGTGTAATGCAACCATAAAACATTTACTCTTGGCACAAAAATGAGCTCAAGATTGCCACCAGTTGAATCTCTGGGGAAAGGGAATTCCACAATTGGGATGCCACTACAGAGGAGTCCCTTTTAGCAATATATTTCCTCTACTGGCAGAACACAGAGGAAGAGGAAAAAACTGCTGAAATGCTTACATATGGAATTCTTGTGCACGCCATATATACAGGGTGGCCAAGAAATATTTGAGAGACACATAGATTTATTTTCTTTTGTACCATATACTCATGAATAAGTTGACCTCATGCATAAGTCAAGGACAGGTTTGGGGGACAAAATTATGGATTTTGGTTTTGAAGATAATTCTACAGAAAAGAGAAAGCCTCGGTGCCACTCAGGGGTTGAATTACCTCTGATTTTCTCTGCCATTTTACTGCCCGAGCATCAAAAAAGCCAACAGTGCCACCATGGAAAAAAAAGTAGAGGGAGTCGGTGCTTCTTTTAGATCTCCCTGAATGGGCTTCTTTTTGCATTTTACTGTTCTACTCTGAGAAGAAGATGGTTCCATTTGTGATTAGAATTAAGGTAAAATATTTACACTGACTTGTAGATTAATCAGTCCAGGTTTTGGACTAAACCTTTTAGACTTATACATGAGTATATACAATTATCTTTCTGACTGTCTGAACTCTGCAGGCTCCTTAGATTCCTGTGGTTATATTAAAGCCCAGGGGAAAATATCATGACATAACTCAAGGATGGGCAGGGGCAGCTCAACCCATTACGCAAAGTAAGCATTTGCAGTATAGTTGATTTTGCTCAGGGGTGCTCTTGAGACACTCTTGGGGGAAAATAGACCTTGACATATGCAAGTTGTAGTTACTGGGATGTATAGTTCACCTACAATCAAAGAGCATTCTGAACTCCACCAATGATGGAATTGAACTAAATATGGCACACAGAACTCCCACGATAAACAGAAAACATATAACAGTGATTAGTTGGGGGCACGCCAAAATACTGTTTGTTTACCTTTGAAAATTACCTAGGGCCACCTCTGAGGATGGGGAACACTTTTTCAGCTTAGAGACCAGGTTTGCACGTGGAAAATCTTTCAGGGCTTTCTTCAACTGTATTATGAGGGAGAGTGAAAGCAAAATGAGTGGACTATTTCTTACCAATTTTACGCTGTCTAGTACAAAGTACCTGACTACCTTATGTCTGGTCTCAGTAGTTAAGCAGAATCTACCCTGGTTTGTTCTTGGATAGGAGAGGCTGCCAACGAATTCCAGGAGTAGTGCCACAGAAAGTGACAATTAGTTACTTCCTGTTCACTTCCTATTACAGAAAAAAATATGTCTCATAGGTTTAAAATGGCCCCAAAGGGGGAAAACATGGAGAAAATGTTTCCCATTTGGGGGCCTTTGGGAACAAAATTACCTCTGGCCACACACACAAAATGGATCTGAGGTCATATGGCCACACTTCACCTAGTCCAATGGATGCTATTGTTTGTATTGAGTGTGTGGCTGACGGACTAAGTCTGGTCCATGCCCTCATCTACTCAACCTTTCAAATGTGATCTTCAGAATCTTTGCAACTGACACATCTTACCAACCCTCATTTCCCTCCACAGGGTGACTCTGGAGGACCTTTGGTTTGCAAAGTACAAGGAAGCTGGTTCCAGGCTGGAATTGTGAGCTGGGGATTAGGCTGTGCCCTGCGCAACTATCCCGGTGTCTACACATCAGTGCCTTACTATGCCAAGTGGATTAGTGCTGGTTTGGAGGGTAGAGATCCAAATAGTGCTGATTTGGGGAGTAGCAATCCAACTAGTGCTGGTTTGGTGAGTAGCAATCCAGGTAGTGCTGGTTTAGTGAGTAGCAATCCAACTAGTGCTGGTTTGGTGAGTAGCAATCCAACTAGTGCTGGTTTGGCAAGTAGCAATCCAACTAGTGCTGGTTTGGTGAGTAGCAATCCAACTAGTGCGGGTTTGGAGGGTAGCAATCCAACTAGTGCTGGTTCGGGGGGTAGTCATCCAATTGGTGCTGGTTTGGACAGTAGCAATCCAAATAGTGGATCACAAAATGCACCTCTTCTGACACTCCTCTTGTTTCTTCTCCTGCTGATCCTCATGTGAGTCCCCTGAACTCTCCAACCTCTGCCTCACCACTCATTAAAGTGGAATATTATGGATCAGGGAAAATTGAAAAGTGTTCTAGTTTCATTATGGCCAAAATTTTCACATATAATTATGGGAGTATTTAGCAGCTATACTAAGCAGAATGTGGCATAGCCAGTGAGCTAATGGTAGGAAACTGGAGAAATTACTCAGGATGATCTTGTAAGATTAAATTAAAAGAAAAACTTACATTGACTGGGTTGTTGTGAGTTTTTCGGGCTGTATGGCCATGTTTCTCCCACCCTGGACATTCCGTAGATATACACTCCACTTGCCTCATTTTCAACAGACCTCTGAACAAGCCTCTTGTGATGTTTAATTTCTGTGCTAAGATTCTGTCAATAAATATGAATATGACAAACAGCGAATTAATTTCTTCTCTGGTGTCCATTTTTTTTAAAAAAATGTGTGATCCTTCAAATTCAAGGAGATTGTTTTTTCTTTAACTTACAAAGAACATACCAGATATAGTAATAATAATAATAAGAAGAAGAAGAAGAAGAAGAACAACAACAACAACAACAACAACAACAACATTATGTTTGTAGCCAGCCTGCATCTTCCCAAAGGGACTCGGAGCAGCTGACATGGAATCAGCCATGTACTGTGTTACTTTTTAACATAGTTAAAAAGTAACACATTAAAATGCAACAACAATATAAAACAAAATAAAACAACAACATTATAAGAATATATAAAACAGGTATCAAATAACCAATTTATCATCATGGGTGGGCAGATTGGTGTAGCAATAATTGATAGGCTAGTAAGTAAAGTGCATAGGTCATATGGCAACAATAAGGATTATTATTATTTCTTATTATTTAACGTATTTGTATACCACTCTTCTCAGCCTGTCGGCGACTCAGGATAAGAGCAAAAGTGCAAGATCATAATTTTGGGTCCTAGCTGGGGCCAACTATCTATGGAATTGTCTATTCAAAAGCACAGTAGAACATCCACATCTTTAACCCGTTGCAGAAAGTGGACAGGGAGGGTGCTAGCCTGATCTCCCTGGGGCGGGAATTCCAGAGCTGGGAAGCCACAACCGAGAAGGCCCTCTCTCTTGTCCCCACCAATCATACTGAGACGGAGGTGGAAGCAAGAGAAGAGCCTCCCCAGAGGATCTTAAAGAGCATGTGGGTTCGTAGGGGAAGATAAAGTCACGAAGATAGGCAGGTCCCGAACCGTTTAGAGCTTTATAAGTAATGACCTGCACCTTGAATTGGGACTGGAAACTTTACAGCAGCCAGTGGAGCTGTTTAAAGGGGTTGACAGCTCCTTGTCGTTTGCCCCAGTTAACAATCTAGCTGCCGACCTTTGCACCAACTGCAGTTTCCTGCCATCTTCAGAGGCAGCCCCACATAGAGTGCATTTCATCAATCCAACCTTAAGGTAACTAAGGCATGGACCGCCATGGCCAAGTCAGACTTCTCGAAATACGGTCACAGCTGACGCACGAGTTTTAACTGTATTTACATCACCAAGATTAAACACTTTGAGCCAGTATGATATAGTAGTTGGAGTACTAGATTATTAATCTAACAGACTCAGGTTCAAAACCTGCTTGGTCATGGGAATCTGCATTATGAATCCAGGTGATTCACATTCTCTCAGCTTCCGTGGAAAGCAAGAAAATCACTTCTGAACAAATCTTACCAGGAAAGTCCATGATAGATTCACTTTAGGGCTGAAAGTTGAAAGCACACAGCAAACAACAAAAGTAGATCAAAATCAGAGAAAGCATCTAATATCCATTCAAGGGAAAAGGACAATCTGTGTATGAGAAATTTGGGAAAGTATACAGTACTGAAGATTCAAAGGGCAACCTTTCACAAAAAGCATATTTATGTTGTCAACACTCTCTGCCTTTCACTATTTTGTCCAAGTTTGGTATTTTATTTTATTTTATTTTGCTTACCCCAAGAAGCAATTTGTGGTTATTTAACCCCAATGATTGGGGTTTGGAAAGGTAAGTCTTGGAAAGATAAGTCTTCTCATTTCCGGAGCATAGGCTGCCCTCTGCTGAGTTAACTAAGGGCCCTTCCACATAGCCATATAATATCAAGGCAGAAAATCCCACAATATCTGCTTTGAACTGGGTTATCTGAGTCCACAATGCCATATATCCCAGGTCAAAGCAGATAATATGGGGTTTTATCCAGCTATGTAGAAGGGCCTTCCAGTTGTACAGCTGTTCCATCCTTCCACAGTTGTCACAAACTCTCACTACAAAGGTAGACAAATTATAACATTTTAAAACAAAGCTAGAAAGTAGGAAGGCGAGAACTGAATAGTGGGATGTTGCCTGACTCAGGACAGTCGAAGGTATGAATTGTGGTGCCAATCAGTTTTGCCTGCATAGTGGTGAAGACACAACATCTAACTAAGTATTCCTGTGTATTCAAGTTCATGTCACCCACATACATGAAGCTCTTACAGCTAGACAGCATCTAACACAGGGGTTCTCAGCCTTCCTAATGCCACAATCTCTTAATACAGTTCCTCATGTTGTGGTGACCCCCAACCATAACATTATTTTCGTTGCTACTTCACAACTGTAGTTTTGCTACTGTTATGAATGGTAATGCAAATATCTGATATGCAGAATGTATTTTCATTCACTGGACCAAATTTGGCACAAATACCCGATATGCCCAAATTTGAATACTGGTGGGATTGAGTGAGTTGATTTTGTTATTTGGACTTTGTAATTCCTGGGATTTATAGTTCACCTTCAATCAAAGAGCATTCCGAACTCCACCAATGATGGAATTGAACCAAACTTGGCACACAGAACTCCCATGTTCATCGTCCATTCTCTGATGGAAGACTGGTGTTTCTTTTGGGACTTTGTAAGAATCATAGAATCATAGAATCAAAGAGTTGGAAGAGACCTCATGGGCCATCCAGTCCAACCCCCTGCCAAGAAGCAGGAATATTGCATTCAAAGCACCCCTGACAGATGGCCATCCAGCCTGTTTAAAAGCTTCCAAAGAAGGAGCCTCCACCACGGGGCAGAGAGTTCCACTGGTGAACGGCTCTCACAGTCAAGAAGTTCTTCCTCATGTTCAGATGGAATCTCCTCTCTTGTAGTTTGAAGCCATTGCTCCGCGTCCTAGTCTCCAAGGAAGCAGAAAACAAGCTTACTCCCTACTCCCTGTGGCTTCCTCTCACATATTGATACATGGCTTTCATATCTCCTCTCAGCCTTCTCTTCTTCAGGCTAAACATGCCCAGTTCCCTAAGCCGCTCCTCATAGGGCTTGTTTTCCAGACCCTTGATCATTTTAGTCGCCCTCCTCTGGACACATTCCAGCTTGTCAATATCTCTCTTGAATTGTGGTGCCCTTGAATTGGACACAATATTCCAGGTGTGGTCTAACCCAAGCAGAATAGAGGGTAGCATTACTTCCCTAGATCTAGACACTATGCTCCTATTGATGCAGGCCAAAATCCCATTGGGTTTTTTTGCCGCCACATCACATTATTGGCTCATGTTTAACTTGTTGTCCACGAGGACTCCAAGATCTTTTTCACACGTACTGCTCTCGAGCCAGGCATCGTCCCCCATTCTGTATCTATGCATTTCATTTTTTCTGCCAAAGTGGAGTATCTTGCATTTGTCACTGTTGAACTTCATTTTGTTAGTTTTGGCTCCATCTCTCTAATCTGTCAAGATCATTTTGAATTCTGCTCCTGTCCTCTGGAGTATTGCTATCCCTCCCAATTTGGTGTCGTCTGCAAACTTGATGATCATGCCTTCTAGCCCTTCATCTAAGTCATTAATAAAGATGTTGAACAGGACCGGGCCCAGGACGGAACCCTGTGGCACTCCACTTGTCACTTCTTTCCAAGATGAAGAGGAAGCATTAGTGAGCACTCTCTGTGTTCGTCCACTTAACCAATTACAGATCCACCTCACCGTAGTTTTGCCTAGCCCACATTGGACTAGTTTCCTTGCCAGAAGGTCATGGGGGACCTTGTCGAAGGCCTTACTGAAATCCAGGTACGCTACATCCACGGCATTCCCCGCATCTACCCAGCTTGTAACTCTATCGAAGAAAGAGATCAGATTAGTCTGGCATGACTTGTTTTTGATAAATCCATGTTGACTATTAGCGATGACTGCATTTGTTTCTAAGTGTTTGCAGACCGCTTCCTTAACAATCTTTTCCAGAATCTTGCCCGGTATCGACGTGAGGCTGACCGGACGGTAATTGTTTGGGTCATCCTTTTTTCCCTTCTTGAAGATTGGACCACATTGGCCCTCCTCCAATCTGCTGGAACTTCTCCCGTTCTCCAAGAACTCTCAAAGATGTTGCCAATGGTTCCGAAATGACTTCCGCTAGTTCCTTCAATACTCTGGGGTGTAGTTGATCTGGCCCTGGGGACTTGAACTCATTAAGAGCGGCCAGGTATTCCTGGACGACTTCTTTCCCAATTTGGGGTTGGATGTCCTCCAATCCCTCATCCACTCCATCTTGCTGAGGTTGAAGACTCTCTTTTTGTGAGAAGACCGAGGCAAAGAAGGCATTAAGTAGTTCTGCCTTTTCCCTACCCCTGTCAGCATTGCCCCATCTTCTCCTCGAAGAGGTCCTATCGCCTCCTTGTTTTTCCTTTTTCTACTGACATAAGAATAGAAGCCCTTTTTATTGTTTTTAATGTCCCTGGCAAGTCTGAGCTCGTTTTTTTGCTTTAGCCTTGCGGACCTTTTTCCTACTATCCAGAGAGCACTGTGGACTCAAACAATGATGGATCTGGACCAAACTTGGCACGAATACTCAGTATGCCCAAATGTGGAGTTTGGGGAAAATAGACCTTGACATTTGGGAGTTGTAGTTTCTGGGATTTATAGTTCACCTACAATCAAAGAGCATTCTGAACCCCACCAACAAGAGAATTGGGCCAAACTTCCCACACAGAACCCCCATGACCAACAGAAAATACTGTTTTTTC